CAGTTCTGTCCTCAGGTTCCTCAGACTTTTCTTCCTTTCTCACTAACAAGCGTTCATTATTTCTCCCTTAAGCTTCCCAGTATCCCACGGTGGATTTTTGCAACTTTTAATTTCCCAGGAGGGATATGAAAGGTCTACAAGTAAAACGCTTTGCTTGCTCTTATCTGGGAGATTACAGAAGGGAATCGGATAAAAGCGGGGCTTGAATACTCAATGCTTTGCCATTGTCAGCAGCAATGCACTTTTGGTAGAAAATGCCATTATCCTTATACAGCAGGGTTTTAAAAACTTTTAAAAGGCATAAAAAATTGAGGAATCAAATTCTTCAGGCATTACTCTTTGCTGCCCTGAAGTTCCTCTTCATTGCACTGGAGGCAGAGGAAGAAAATAGAGTGACTGGATCCCTCCAGTCCCATAAAATATTCAACAAAGTCCTTATTGCATACCTGTTTCCCCCTCATTGAGAGTGTGGGAGGGGGATGTGGAGGACACGACTCCCCATCAGCAGCATAATGAGGTGAACAGGCTGGTTTGGGCTGCTGCTGTTCCAGTGCTGTGTGGCAGGAAGCTGGGATTCACACTGATGTCTCAGTTCCTCTGGCCTTTTTGAAACTGATAATTGTGAACATCATCCACACTAATTATTTTTGAGAAGCTGCAACGATCATAGTTGTAAGAATGTTGGAGTGTGTTCACAATTAAGGGCTGCCTAGAGGATAAAGGTGGCTTTTTCTTTTTCAACAACACTGATTGATCTCTGACAAACAGCTTTTTTCCTTTTTTCTCTTGATGTTCCCTTATGCTATGACATGAATAAATTACACAGTGGGAAGTAAATGAGAAGATTTCATACTGATAACCATGTCTGTGCTTTAGTTTTCCTTGTTTTGCTTCACCATATTCCCTGCTCTAAATGAATATGTGCAGTTACACGTCTCTGTTCTCTCACAGTATAAAATGGCCCTTCTTTTCCAGATAAAATTTTTTTAGTCCCATAAAGCTGATCTTCATTCTTCCTTTTGGAAAGGCATTGAGAAATGCAGAATTATGCTTAGAAATCTAGAGATGGTAGATGAAATAATGTTAAATGTCTGTCTCAAGTCCCTGTGCTTGTACCTGGGGCTAGAAAAGTTAGAACTTAACCTCAGAATTTCACTGCCTTTTCCCTTTTACATACTTTCCCACTTTCCTCTATTAACTATTATTGATTTCAGGTTGCATTTCATAATAACTGTTATGCCAGGGGCTGAACTGGGTGACTGTGGAAACCAGCTCTGTGCTCCTGCTGGTGAAAAGAATATGCTAGTTGCAGGCCAGGTTGCTTGAATTGCTGTGATGATCCTGCACATCCTCCTCACAAGGCTGTGCTCAGTGACAGACTGACTCTGTGCCTGGTGTGCTCTTGCTGCCACCACACAGCCACAGCTGAGCTTTGCTGTTTTTTTCCAGCTGGTGAGGGAAGGAGAAGCCAGACCACTTTGGGTGACCCAGAGGAAGGAGGGTATTGCTGTTTGAGAGACAAATATATTAGTATAAGGTGTAGTCTGAAGCCTTGTGACATTTTTCATTTTATTTTTTGCTCATATTAGATGGGAAGACTCAGATTGATGCCTGTAACACGCATGCCAAGGACTCTGCTTACCCTGGTCTTGTTTTTTGCCTGACAGTGAGCCTCTCTGCTGCTGTTGCAAGGTCCTGTTAGCCCTCTGTGATGATGTACAGAGCATGATATAGTGTCTTCAGCAGGGAAGGGGGACTAATGACTACAAAGGCATGGCAAGCTTTCATTCACTCATATCTGCAAATGGCTTTGCTTATTTCTCAAGGAAAAATTAATGACATAAAGCTAAATACTGTAAATAGTAAAAACAGACACTCACCTTTGTAACCCAATTAATAAGCACATTTTTTAGTTTAATTACCCTATACTGCATGTTAGAGGCATATATGTCTTACTGATGGTTTAACCAGGTTACCCCCCAGATAACTTTCTGTGACCATAGTTAATTGCATAAAAATTTAAAACTTGCAAACTCAGTTTTTGGGATTAAAAGACAGAACTGTCATTCATGTCTCTGAGGACTGCCTTTTTTCCTGTAACTGTGGCTTGAAGGATTTCAAAAGCTTCTTTTCTTACTTAGCTTGATTGGTGAACCTAATGGTCGTTTTGATTTTTGGTCTTATTCTTGATTATTTCTAAACTTCCAGACGCTTCCAGGAAAACAAGTTTCCTTGAAACAATGTGCCTCAGCAACAATATTTTATCATAGTAAACCATACAAAGCTTATGGGTTTGAAGCAGAAGTGATCTTTTCAGTCCTCTTATAGCCAAATATTACACATAAAAAATTGAATCTGTGAAATATCAATTGTTCCTGTGGGACTGGAAATTTTAACTAAAGGAAAAACATGTCTATAATACCTGCTCAATCGTAACACAGTTCAGTGACCCACTTATGATCAGGTTAATTATCCTTATGCTTCCTTATCTCTTTCAAGGACAATCTTGTGTGAAAGTCAGCCCTGCACAAGAAGCTGGCAGCTTTTTCACTCCTGGGAAGGGGAACCAGGCTCTAACAAGCACTGCCTGCCAGCTGCCAGGCAGAGGCACAGCATCCCATACAGCATCACCTACAGAAATTCATATCCGCAAGCACTTATGCATACAAGTATATATATAAATATATGCATACATCTCATAGGATTGCTTTTGTAAGGCTCCTTCTCTGAGGCTGTGCCTTTTGATAGAAATTCAGCTCCTCTCAGTTTGGTTGCAGGCGTTCCAATCCATGTCACCAGAGCAGAGTGATGCTGTGGGTGACATTGCTGTGTGAGCATCATTTTGCTTTCTCCACCCCTCCAGCATGCCTCTGATGTGATACACTTGTCAGGCAAGGAAGGTGTAATGCTCTGGAAGATCCCTGCAATCACAAGCCTGATATATAGAGGCCTCCCACTGAGAAACTAAAATATCTCTGTTACCTCATTGCTGGGGATTGCGCTTGCAATAATAACTTCAAAATGAGAATCAGAAGCAGCCCAGTGAGTGGATTTCTCCTGACAGCATGCACTCAGGAAGTGGCAGTGGTAGGGAAATTCTCCAGCTTTGCACTTTATTGTGCACTTTTGTCTCACAAGCTCACTAAGAAAGCTCTTCAGTGACATAGTTTTAAAGACTTTCTGTTGTCTGCATTATCACAGATCTGCTGCTTTTATCAGTAGGTATATGAAAATCCCATAATTTGGCATTCACCATACAATGTTGTAGTAGAGCCATAAGAAAATCAGCATCTGGACTTACTCTCTTCTCCTCTCATGAGGCATATGCTCATTTTCTAAGGGTCTCTGCCATAGTGCTGGTGGCTCATGCCCCCATCATGCCAGAGGCTAAAGATTGATCACCCCTAGTACAGAGGCTGAACACTGAGAGCTGCAGAGTTTTTCTTATGCCAGATGACTTTATGAGAAGTTGTAGTGAGATGGCAGCACTTAGGAGAAGACTCAGGCATTTCACAATTATATTACAGGTATATTTTGACAACCGAAGAAGCCCTGGCTATGCTCTGACTCCCTTCTGCCATGCAGAGGGACTCTGAGGTGTAAGGGAGAGGGGTCACAACCATGTCTCCTTTTAGCATTGAGCCAGGACACAACTGGGGAGAGCACATGGTCCCGTCCTGGGAAGTGCTCATTCATCCCACCTCTTATATAGATTGGCCTTTAAAACTTTTGTCTGAGCGATGTTATTTACTTCCATACTAATGAAAAATCATACCTAGAATACATTCTGATATAGGTTACATTAGAATGTGTGCAAACACTCTGCCATTCATTCATTGGTCTGGCTGTCAGGCCTGGGTGTAAGCAAAATGGAAGAGCTTCCACTGTAACTCAGACAAAGCAGCAGCCAAGACTCATCTGTGTACAGTTTAATGCTGTGGCAGAAGATTGTGTTGTAGATGTGGTTTCAGGAAGGTTATCTGCAGTCCTATGAGCAGTGCTGGCATATTGGGAACTAAAATTCAATTCTGCCCCCAGAGTCTGGGAAGTTCTCAAAGTTTTCAACATCTGATTTATATTTTGGTTAACCATCTATTTTTGGATATGTCTCTTTTCTCTTGAAATTATGTGGATCAAATATTTTTTTCTTGTTATTGGGAATACTCTCTCATCAAAACTAACTCTTTCATAATTCCCTGGTAGCTCTGAGAACTGCCAGTGTGGTGGGAAAAGCAAAAGTCAGGATAGTTATGATGTTCTTCAGAGAATGTGCCCTTCTTAGGCAAGGAGTGCTGTATGGGTGGTAAGACACTTTCTGCTATTGTATTTGGGGCAGTCATGTCACTCTCATACTCCCATGAAAACAGGGGGGCTTAGCAAGATCCTCAGAGGACAGCTGCTGTGAAAATTACTGCTGTGTGGAATTAGAATCACTTGGACTTTGTGCCCTGCTTCACACTGTCCTGTGTCTGGCAGATTGTGTAAGTACATGAGAGGCTTTTTGTCCATCTAGAACTGTAGTCATTAACCAAGGGATGGGCAATTATGGTAAGCAACATAGTAATCTTAAATTCCAGAGATGACTGCATAGGACACTAGAGAAACAGTGGATTATTCAGTTGTTGCCTAACAGGAAACAGACCACTGAGAAATCAGGTAGCAGTGAACAAACACAAAAAGAATCCTTTATGTAAAACCAGCTGTTCTGTTTCATGCAAACCTAGGCAACAGTGGCCCTCTTACCCATGTTTTTCATAGCTGCTCTTGGTTTCATGTATTCCACTGGCTGCACACAGTGGAATTTATGGTTTCCCTTAGGCATACATGTCTGCTTTCCATCACTAAAAACTCTTTGTTTTTAAAAGAAGAGAGCAGAAGCTGTTCTGATTTTTCCTTTGAATTAACACGCTTTCATGAAAACTGCTTTATAATAGCCCAGATATCAAGTTAGAAGTGGATGCCTCTGCAAAGTGCTTTTATAAAGTGCTTATACCAGTGCAGCTCTCTGCTAGGAAGGCAGACTTCCAAGGAGAACTGTAACACAGGAGGACTGGAGCAAGAAACGGTAATGTAAATTTTTCTTAATTGAATTCAGTTTCTCAAGGCACTGCAATCATTTGTTATTTATGAAAGGATGAAATGCACTTCTATGCTATTTGCATATACATTTTCCCCTCCTTTCTTTTAGGATAGGAGAATATACATAATCTCTCTCCTTTATTAAGGGGTGACATCTGCTACAATGTCACCTAGACCCACTAAGCAGGCTCAAAACTGGCATCAGGGAATGACAGTGCTGGCAGCAACTGCTGAGCGTGAGGGTAAGACGTAAAGCTGGCTCAGAATGAAGAGGCTGTGATGTGTGAGGGGGGGTCACAGGACTCAGGCAAGGAAACATCTGGACCTGGCTTAATGGAACACCACAATTACTCAGCACAATTTAAATGAACCATTAAAGCCAGCACTGAAGTAAAAGGTAAAGGAGCTCTGTGGAAAAATGAAGCTTTTGTGCCACTACTCTGGTTGGTCTCCAATAATGCTGCTTGGTTCATTAGAGGAATTTGTCAGCCAGGGTTGTGCTGCCTGTCAGCCCTGTGAGGTGGCTTGAAGGGCTGTGGGGGAATGGGCAGGTGAGGCAGCGTGGAGCTCTCTAATCTTCTGTTCAAGAAGTGAGATTAGTGGCTGCAGTGTAGGCACAGCATTGTTTAATTGGAAAAGGTAGGAGATGTTCACAAATGCTCTGGAAAACCTGCCATCAGCAGGTATAGAAAATCATTTCCATTTACTATACTTCAGTGAAAATCTGGCCTCCTTAGTTGAAAGCTTAAACTTCCCTGCACCAAATTGCCAAAGTGGTATTTTCAGTCTGTAATTTACAGCCCAGCAGAAGACATCAGAGGAATTTTAGAGCAAGTGAATGTTATGCCAGCAGAAGTAATCTTGCTTTTTTTATTTTTTTTTTTTTAGAGAAAGGGTTGCATCTTAACAGGATGAATAATATAATGAATCTCTTGGCTTGTTATCAATCAGAACAGTGAAATTTCATAATCTATCACTATTTTGGAAGGTGAATGACAGCACCAGATGTACAACACTGGTGACTCAGATTGTAGGAAAGTAATTAATGATGTTAGCTGAACAATTAAAAACCTGGTGTTAAGAGATGCTCAAAAGACAATCGCACAATTCTTCACAACAGAGGCTCAAAGAATTTCAATAGCTATTGACAGATGAACTCTGCTCCACAGGCCTCTTGAAAATCTCTCTAACAAATGGTGGGCCCCATAGCAAAACTTTTAGGAAATACAAGACTATGTTAAACAGATAACATTGTCCAAGACTTTGGCTCAATTACAAGTACTGGAGCATTACAAATAATACCCAGAGGTCAGGTTCATTCCTTTCTTCATGAAGCATGTAGCTCAGGAAGTTCAGCAGTATGAAACTAAAGGATTCTATTGATAGACCTGACTGAATAGAACCTACAGTTACTGTGAATTTACTTCTTTAATGCAGTCAAGCACTGGTTATTGATCAGTTAACACTACCATATATTTGCCCCTTAAAATTACCCTCTAGCTACTTCTCTGAGCTATAACTATCAACTTTGTACTGTCAGAAGAGAATTAAGAGAGCAGACAACCCAGAAATTCTGTTCTAAAAGAATCCTATGCCACTGCATAGGACCAGCAGCTGAAGAAGTTTGGGCCCAGCTTCAGAAGGGGTGTCTACAGCCTCCTGTGTCCAAGAAGTACATCCTCAAAGTCAGTGGCATTGGCCACCAAGACAAGAAGATGCACTTAAAGAGCTGATCCTTTAGGTGAGACAAGTAATGCTGTCAACTTCAAAGTGTAGGTACAGTTATGTCAGAAACCTTTCCACTGAAGACATCAGAATTCAGATACATCTGAAATTCAAATTGGTAACTAAATCTCTGGAAATCAAAGTTTTTGGCAACTTCTCAGCTTTGCATCTCTATGAAAAAGAAGCCAGCCTTGGTATTAGGAAGCTGATTATTTTAAAGGACTTTCAGTTGAATGAAGCTTTTATGGACTGGGCTATTCTGCGTAGCCAGGAGCAGAGCTGGATACACAGTGCTGTATTCGCAGAGCTGGGTTGAGCCTTAGCACAGATAAAAGATTGATGTAAGTCCTCAGATGAATGAAAGCATGCAGACCTTTCTGAATAAAAAAAAAAAAAAGAAAAAAGAAAAATTTGGGTCAATGAAAAAAACTTATCTAGGCTAGGAGAAGGGATAAGTGCAGGGAATTAGACAGGCTGGGGAAGCTCTGCATGTGTGACCCAAACTCTGCAGCTGCTATTATTGGAAATGAGCTATCAGTGTATAAATGCCATGAGCAAAGCGAGGAAGAGAGGTTTCTGAAAAAAATATTTTCAACAACATTTTGCACAGATATTTTTGTTGGCTGTATTTTGTGATGCGTCCATTTGCAGTTTCTAAATTCACCCCTCCCTTGCATTTATAATTTCAGCAAGAGTCTGACAGACACCTGCAGTCTGTCACCATACTGTTAGGCAGGTGTTTGTTGAGAGGTGATGGCATGCAAAATTTGCAACACAAAGGTGAACAGAGATAAAACCTTAGTAAATTGCTCTAAAACACAGTTAGTTCTCTACTGCTTACTTATCAGATGTTCTCTTGCTTTCAAAGATATTCATAGTGCCATTTAATACATATAACTGGTGGTCCTGTGGCCTATAATTGTCTCCTGAGAGAAATTGGTTGCACAGGTTTCATAATAGTAGTTTAATGTTTGAATTAACACTTTAGTGGTTAGTTTTGTCACTCTAGGCATTTAGTTCTCTCTTCTTTTATTGGGGCGGCGGGGGAGAAAGGAAATGTGAGGGGGGTGTAATCTGATGAGTAATCTAATGAGTGTCTAATATAAAATAAGTAATAATTTCTGCTGTACTTCCCTATGGTCTGTAATGGTGCTAATGTGCTGTGACCACTGATTGCTATGATTGACTTGTGTTGCTGCCCACAAATTGTATTTATCACTAAATTCAATATAATAGCGGGTATAAAAGGAAAAACATGTCAAAATCACAAAAGATTAGAAATATGTTACCCATTGAGAACACATCACCACCTTCTGGAAGTTATGCCTTTGGCAGTTATTATACACACTTACAAGGTTTTGTCACCAGACGATCAGAACATGCCCTACCTGGTTTATCTTAGGAGCAAATATTATTTTCCTCAACAAGAGTTATTGTTTGTTAGAATGTCCTTGCTATTATACCTGTCTGTCATAACTCAGCAGGTATAAGGTAATGAATGCCTCTGAAAAAAATTGTGTAAATTCCTTAACTGCTTCTGGAAAGCATTCAAAGGAATGTTTTTATGTCTTTACATTAACCTTATATTTGCCAGATACTTTTTGGCATGATGAATCATGCAAACTATATTTACAAAATCTAAATTAGCATAGAGACTGATATGTAAGACTGTTGCCTTATGTACTTAAGGTGGGAATTAGCTGGAACTTATCTGAAAAGACAACTTAAGCAATTCTGCCCTTCAACTCAACCTTGAGTTTGATCATCTTTCTTTAGAAGAGCACAGCTCCCTCCCTGAGTGAGTGTCTGAGCCCAGGCATGTGGGGTCAGTGCCCTGATCTGGGGAGCCAGGAATTTTGTGCTCACCTCAATATTGCCATGACTCACTTGAGGCAGGGAAATGCCAACATTCCAAAAGGCCCAGCTGAAAAACAAGGCCATGAACAAAGAAGGAGGTTCGGGTATGGCAACCTAAGTTATGCAGGAGAGCTCACCTGGAAGTGCATGCCCACCGTGTGTGCCTTGAGCACACTGACAGACAGGATTCAGCAGCCCCTCCTGCCTGGAGACCCCCACACCCTTCCTGTGCAGAGCCTGCTCCATGCCTGGTGCTCTGCTCATAGAGCAGAGAGCTCAAGCTCCCCTCTCAGGCTGCAGGTGGTGCAAAGTAAAATAGAAACCATTTCACATCACACAGAAGCTGAGTCACTCTCTGAGCTGTGAATGTAAAGCCCTGGGTGAGATGGTGAGTGGGTAGTTGAAAGCCAAAGTCAGTAGGTCAGACAGCACAGGGAGACTTTTAGTCAGCAACAACCTGAATAAGGTGGGCACAGAGCTTAAATTTGCTTTCATAGCAGTTACAGGGAAAGTAGGAAACTGCAGAGAAGATTTCAAATTAGAGAGTTCAGCAGAGGAAGAGTGTTAGTGATGCTATGGTCCAGCTGAAGTTTGAATGAGAGGCCATGAAAAAGATTAGCAAAACAAGTCAAGAAACTGGGGTCTGTTGAGCTTTGAAAGTTCTTTTAATTAGAGTTAGTTGGAAACTTTATGGCAAAGCACTTTAACCAAAATATATATTTTCTCTGAAACTACAGCGTGTTGTTTAAAAGGTTCTGTATTCAACAAATTTCCACAGGGCAAAGCTCTGAGTCCTCTCAGATCTTCCTGGAGATGTGGCAGGCAGAAGGAGTCCTGTTCCTGCTGTGTGCAGTGGGACTTGTTCTGAGGCAAGGAGCCAAGAAGAGGTGTCAGGCAGCAGACATCTTCCCTTCCACCTCTCACACTTTTGTGTCCAGTGTCACAGGTCTTTCTGGTCTTGCAGTGGGCACCATCCAACTTCCATGTTGGCCTGGTGACAGCTGGGGAAGGTGCTGCCATGCTCACACTCCTACACTCCTACACTTTGGGACATGCAGGGACATGGCCCCATTTGTAGGGGAAGCAAAGAAGTACTTTAATGTAGGATTTTTGAATCAATGAACATTTTATACACTTATTTGAAGATATTAGTTTACCAAGATGCTTTCCAATCTCTCTCACAGCTGCCCTAATTTGTATTGGTTGATTCTAGTTTTTAGAAAAGAAGGTATGTGCTTCCTTTTAGGTCATGCACATATTTAGCAAGGGGAAGGGTGGGAAGTGATGTCCTTGTGTCTAATGGGACTCAGCCTTCTCCCTTGATGTTTTAGAAACGGTCCGCAACAAATCTAATGCTTACCCTTAGGTAATAAAAGACCTTTTAAGGGCACTGTCATGGCCTTC